CTAGTAGACTCTAATGGACAGCTCCGGGTGCCAGTAGTCTTTGTGACAAATGCTGGGAATTGCTTACAGCAGGTCAAGGCCCAGGAATTGTCTGATGCTCTGGGACTGGAGGTAATAAGAGAATCCATCTCTTCTATTCTGGGGTATTGGGTGGAGGCCCTGGCTGTTACATGTGCAAGAGACTCTTCATTTGGACAGTAGAAATCCCATGTTCCCTTCCATCAGTGTCCAGTGGAGATCAGTGGGAATCCATTGGCATCAGTCATTCATTTTTATGTAACCAAAGAATAAGCTGTCTTCTCAGTTAGAAACTACAAGCATTTAAACAGCAAGACAGCCAGTGAGAAGTCCTGGGGAGATGGGTTCTTGTGCAGTGTATAACTGGTCACTTGAAATTGATCATATACACTACCAACTACGCCAGCAGCTTGGGACAATGCACTTACTGGCTGTCAAAAGGTTTTGTTTCCCTTCCCTGAACTGGCCAGCTACTAATCCCTAACTGACAGCATGATATTGGAGAAAGATGATTGTGTTATACGGCTGCAAGACTAGTCCAAATGGCTATGTATCCGCACTGTCCATACAATTAGAACAGGGGTGGGGAACCTCAGGTCTGGGGGTGAAATCGGCTCCCAAGGCTCAGGGCCCCACCCAGACATGGGGAGCCTGTGCTGGCACTCCAGCCCCTCCACTATCCTACTGCAGGGCTGGAACACACATCATCTACTTGGCTGGGCCCCTCTAGGCTCTGGTGTGAGGGGAATGTGGGGAGTGCCTTCTTCTCAGTCAGGGGCCATGTCAGTGAGGATTTTTTTGCTTCTCACTTGGGTTTGGCCCCTGACTGACTTTTCTGTGGCTCAGTGCCCACTCCTCACAAATGAGAAGAGGGAAGGAGGCAACAGCTGAGTGGTGTGTGGGGAATGTCCATCTTGCTGACCCTGTGACCTTTTCTTCCTGCAGGTATCTCCAGAACAAGTGATCCTCTCCCACAGTCCCCTGCGTCTCTTCCGTCAGTTCCATGGGAGATGTGTGCTGGTGTCTGGGCAAGGACCAGTAGAGGAGAATGCTAGGAAGTATCCTTTTGTTGTTCTTATGTTATGGACCCTGCTTGTCCCTTCACAGCTGTTCTGTACCGGCTGTGCCAGGGAAGCAGTGGTATCTAGATATGTATAGGGAGGTTTGTATGGCCAACCTGTGGCGGTGTGGGAAAAGACCTTCCCATTACTTGGAGCAGCTTGTAGGGAGACGACCCTTTGGAACACTTGTGGCTTGGGACTGTTGGGCTACGTCTACATTGGCCCCTTTTCAGAGATCGTAATAGGGAAATCCGCGGGGGATTTAAATATCCCCCGCGGCATTTAAATAAAAATGTCCGCCGCTTTTTTCCGGCTTTTAGAAAAGCCGGAAAAGAGCGTCTACACTGGCCCCGATCCTCCGGAAAAAGCGCCCTTTTCTGGAGGATCTTATTCCTACTTTGAAGTAACTAAGAATTGGGTTCCTAAATCCATTAGGTGCTCTTGTAAATCAGCTCATAATCTATTTCCTTCCTTGACAATCTGAAATAGTGTGGGATTCCAGAATGTGGTTACCATACAGGATGTGAGGAAGGCATTTCCCCTGCTGGACATGGTTGATCAAAGCCGTAGACCAAAGGATCTGGTAAATATCAACCTGCCTGGGTAACTTGGTATGATAGCATTTGCATGATATGGACTGTGAGATGACAGGCATAAAGAGGACTGGTTACTAAAGTGATTCCTGCAATGACCTTTGCTCAAAGAGGCTAGAGCTGCAGTAGCTTTGACACATGACATTCAGCCCAGGATTTCTTTACTGTTCCCTAATGTGTACAACCAAGACCTCCCTCTTCTCCCCCTACCCCCTCCAAGAATGAGTATCAATTCTCCCCCACCTCAGAGGTGTGTGGCCAATTTAAGACTTCTTGAGCATAAGAACGGCCGTACTGGGTCAGACTAAAGGTCCTTCTAGCCCAGTATCCTGTCTGCCAACAGTGACCAACACCAGGTGCCCCAGAGAGGGTGGATCGAAGACAATGATCAAGCAATTTGTCTCCTGCCATCCCTCTCCAGCCTCTGACAAACAGAGGCCAAGGACACCATTTTATCCCCTGGCTAATAGCCTTTTATGGACCTAATTTCATGGAGGTTATCTAGCTTCTCTTTAAACTCTATTATAGTCCTAGCCTTCACAGCCTCCTCTGGCAAGGAGTTCCACAGGTTGACTACATGCTGTGTGAAGAAGAACTTTTTTTATTAGTTTTAAACCAGCTCCCCATTAATTTCATTAGGTGTCCTCTAGTTCTTCTATTTAGGGAACTAATAAATAACTTTTCTTTATCAGCCCTCTCCATACCACTCATGATTTTATAGACCTCTATCCTATACCCCCTCAGTCTCCTCTTTTCTAAACTGAAAAGTCCCGGTCGCTTTAACCTCTCCTCATATGGGACCCATTCCAAACTCCTAATCATTTTAGTTGCCGTTTTCTGAACCCTTTCCAAGGCCAAAATATCTTTGAGGTGAGGAGACCACATCTGTACACAGTATTCAAGATGTGGGCGTACCATAGTTTTATACAGGGGCAGTAAGATATTCTGGGTCTTATTTTCTACCCCTTTCCTAATAATTCCTAGTATCCTATTTGCCTTTTGACCGCCGCTGCACACTGTGTGGAAGTTTTCAGAGAACTGTCCACGATAACTCCAAAATCTCCTGATTTGTCATAGCCAAATTAGCCCCCATCATACTGTACATATAGTTGGGGTTATTTTTCCCAATGTGCATTACTTTACACTTATCCACATTACATTTCATTTGCCATTTTGTTGCCCAATCACTCAGTTTGGTGAGATCTTCTTGGAGTCCCTCTCAGTCTGCTTCTGTCTTGACTATCCTAAACAGTTTGGTATCATCTGCAAACTTTACTACCTCACTGCTTACCCCTTTCTCCAGATCATTTATGAATAAGTTGTACAGGATTGGTCCCAGGACTGACCCTTGGGGGACACCACTAGTTACCCCTTTTCATTCTGAAAATGTATAATTTATTCCTACCCTTTGTTTCCTGTCTTTTAACCAGTTTGCAATCCAAGAAAGGACCTTCCCTCTTATCCCATGGCCATGTAATTTACACAAGAGCCTTTGGTGAGGGACCTTGTCAAAGGCTTTCTGAAAATCCAAGTATACTATATCTACTGGATCCCCCTTGTCCGCATGTTTGTTAACCCCTTCAAAGAACTCTAATAGATTAGTAAGACAGGATTTCCCTTTACAGAAACCATGTTGACTTTTGTCCAACAAATTATGTTCTTCTACATGCTTCACAATTTTATTCTTTACTATTGTTTCGACTAATTTGCCCAGTACTGAAGTTAGACTTACCGGTCTGTAATTGCCAGGATCGCCTCTAGAGCCCTTTTAAAATATTGGTGTCACGTTGGCTACCTTCCAGTCATTAGGTACGGAAGCTGATTTAAAGGATAGGTTACAAACCACAGATAATAGCTCAGCAATTTCCCATTTGAGTTCTTTTAGAACCCTTGGATGAATGCCATCTGGTCCCGGAGATTTGTTAACATTAAGTTTTTCTATTTGTTCCAAAACCTCCTCTAATGACACTTCAATCTGGGACAGTTCCTCAAGGGGCTGACTTCCAGAAAGTACTGAAAAATCTGACTACTTAGATTTCTAAACATGAGTTTCCAACATTAGTCACTCCTCAAGTTCTTGGCTCTCATCTTTTATTTACACACTGTCAATACCAAATATGCCTAGTTCTGTATTACTTACCCAGCCTTGCTTCTTTTTTCTGGCAGCCTCCTCTGACCACTGACTTCCCTACCATAGAAGGTAAGTGCTATGCTTTGTTTGTGTGCGCATTATCCTGCTTGCTGTTCAGCCAAGCCAGCTGGATAACAACTTAGTGACAGAACACCTGATGGAATGACTTTCAGCAGCTGTAGTACACACTGCTTATCTGCCACCTTCCAAAAGAAGGTGGGCTGCATGCATGTTTTGTTTTAAATTTGTTGACTAGCTGGCTGTTCTGAACTTTCATGTAAACATTTCTTTAATGTTGCAGGGGTGATTCTGTTTGGGGAGCCAGTCCGGTGGGAGACAAATCTGCAGCTGATTATTGATGTCCTCTTGAGCAATGGGAACCCTGGGGCAGAGCTGGCAGCAGTGCCCTATCCCCATATACCTATCCTTGCTTGTAACATGGATCTTCTGTGGATGGCAGAAGCAAAGAGGCCAAGGTGAAACATGTTTTAGGTCACTTTCTCTGTTTGGCACTACTTGGAGACATCCTCGAAGTTACATTGGGAACTTGGGCCAATATTCCCAAAATCTTTTCTTTGGGTGCCTAAGTCTGTGTAGATATGCTGGTTCTGTTTAAAACCAACATCTTCCTACTTAGCAAGGATGGCTTTCTGCAGCCAGGATTGATTGATTGAATTCAGTTCTGAAGTTGAACTCCTCTTGGGTAGTTGAGGCATCAGAAAAATGTGGACTGTTTACTTAAGTGCAAAATGCCTCTTCCTTTTTGCATAAACTGGGCCACCTGGTAGAATTCAGTTTTCACCTTGCCAAAAGATCACTCTTGGGTGAAGCCCAGACACTTGATCCGAAGTGGGGGGAAATGGTGTGGATTTTTTTTTTTTTTTTTTAAAAAAGGCAGAACTTGGCCCAGTTTGCAACTTGGATACGTATTGTAGCTGCTAGTGGCCAGGCCAAGCCATACATCTGACGGTAGACTTTATTCCAGTGTTTAGTAGTTAGTAAGATGTATTCTCCATTGTTTATGAGAACAGACATGTCTTGAACACTGAAGGGCTTCTGTATTACCATGGGTGGATTCACAGCATATTTAATAGCCAAATTCAAACGAGGATGCATCAGAGGTGTTACGTTGAGTGGTTAAGGAAAGGGCAAAATAGGGATTTCTGTTCTGTCCTCAAGTTGTTTGCAGGTAGGTAGATGTGGATCAGGATAGTTTTCCTCTCTGGGGCATGAACATAACTGTGTAAGATGAATAATGGTTTCTGTGCAAATGTCAAAGGGTCAGGGGCATTGATGATCCTCTTTTTGGAGCAGATTTGGCCATGGCACCTTTCTTGTCTGCTTGGAGAACATCTACAAAAAAATGACTGGCAGGGAGCTGAAATATGAGGCCCTAATTGGGAAACCCAGCATTGTTACTTACCAGTATGCTGAGTATCTGATAAAACAGCAAATGGAAAGACGAGGGTGGCCATCTCCCATCTTCAGACTCTATGCTGTTGGGTAAGAGACATCTTTGTGTGTTTGTGGTAGTATGTGGTGTCTTTTTTTTTGGGGGGGGGTTGTTTTCCTCCTCCTCCTCCTCCTCCTTCCCCTATCCCTTGCTTAGGGCCCTCCATCCCTGGTCTTTTCGGAGAAGAGT